TAAATAAATTCTTTTCTCTGCACCGACATTGAAACGGAGTTCGAGACTTCGGACCTTTATTCAGCGCAAGTCTATTGATAAACACAAATAATTTTGTATCGGGATGATGAGTCTACCTCGGCGAGTCACAATCATCATCAATCGGTTAAGAAAATATTTAACAAGTGTTTGAATGATTTTGAAAAATGATGTGCAGCATGTGCAGCAACAGGAACGATTCTGAATACGGATTCTGGATTCTGGATTGTGGATTCTGGATACTGGATACTGGGTTCTGGACAGTGAATACTGGATTGTGTGGCTGAAAGCCGTCCCTCGCCAGCGAAGTCGTCTACAAATTATTGCACGCGATCGCTCATTTCCAGCAGAAATAACACAAACACGGCAGCAGCAGTTGGATGGGGAAGGGAATGGGGATGGGGAAAGGGGTAACTCTTAACTCTTAACTGGCAACCAGAAACCAGCCACCAACATCCAGTAACCAACAACCAGCAACTCGAGTTGCCAGTTTCCAATCTCGCAGGCGATGTAGATATAGCAAATAAGATATGGCCGGGGCATGTCATGAGCCGCGCGACTGTGAAAACATCTCAATGGCAAAAGTATCACATCATTCATAATTTCATTGCTGCAGCGGAGGAGGGGGGAAGGGGGAAAGGGGAAGGGCGGAAGGGGGCCTCTGGGAATTGAGTTGTTGGACCTGGCCACGAAAATCTCTCGGCTCAAGTGTTGAATGTTTGCTCAAATAACAACGGCAACAACACGAGATCCGATCCGATCCGATCCGACCAACAGATCTCGAGATATATCCACCGGGGATCTCTTGGGGGCGCGGTGAAATTTGACAAATGAACCGGGCAGTCCGAAAAATAAACACACACAAACACAATCAAAATACACACAATATATGTGCACTGGGAAAAAATTATACTAATTGATTGAACAATAAGGAGGCCTTAAAATGGATCCTCATTTTATTTAGATGAATTATAAAATAAACCAAACTTTTTCGTATTAATAAATATGTTGAACATTTATAGAAAAAAATATATAATATTTTAAGCATGCAAAGATTTATAGTTTTAATAATACTTCTTGATTTATTTTTGGAAAAGAAAGTCATTAACACAAGTTCAGTTTCCAAAAATCTTTGTTTCTTTATTTTTCCAAGTGTACCAGCAACCATAGACCGAAGTGATCATTATTAATGATGACGATTTGTTGATATTTTTGTAACGTGCTATGGAAAGCCCTTTTCGTCTGCAATGCGATCGCACAATTATAAACCAACAACAGGAATTACAAACAAGTGCAGGGCCTCAGAGCCTGCCAAGTCATGCCCATTCGAAATCCCGAATCCCTTTACCTTAACATATACATTTACCTTTACCTTTACCTTTACATCTACATTTGCCTTTACCTTTACCCACTTTCGATCCCAATAAGCATGATCATCGCGATGATGATCTCCACACAAATTGCTTCATCCGAACAGCTGGCAGGCAGGAAACCTCTGCATAATCTAGGCTTATAATTCAATTAATGCCTTCGGTTCTTCTCGATGCACTTAGCTCGGGGAACCTGAAGTGCAACACTAGAATCCAGCCACATGACTGGCAGCTCGAGTGGCCATAAACCCCACCATGAGGATTCGACTGGGAATGGGAGCCTCAACCTCAACCTTAAACTCAAGCTCGGTGTGATCGTGCTCGAAAGTCGTCGTCACACTGTCTGCGGCAGATGCTTTAAATGATCGCTCATTGGGTACAGGTTGATGATCGGCTGCACCGGAAATCGATTTCGAGTGTTGCCCAAAGAGATCGCTTGTCATTGGCAAACGTTGCAACCGATAGAAATTAAGATATTAGCGAAATCCCTATTTCAAGAGCAGTAGGAAAAGTAACATAGGCACAAAGTTAGCGAGCAAACGCCAGCAAGATTTTTCGATACATTTTTCGACAGTTCCCATACACTCGTCCGATTCGTATATAACTAAAACCGACGGTCGGACATACAGACATGATCAACAACAAAAAAAATTTGAAAACACAGTTTTTTTAGAGAATTAAACCACAATTATTTTGAGGTATGCCACTTTGAAATCGAATGTGTGTAAGAAAAGTTATGGGCCTAGAAGTGCAGGTTTTGGGCCACTTTTCTGCAAAGCCATTTTTCGAAAATTTGGAAAGGGGTAACATCATTAAAATGACGGAAAATCGACCCAAAAAAAAAAAAAACTGAAAACACAGTTTTTTAGAGAATTAAACCACAATCATTTTGAGGTATGCCACTTTGAAATCGGATGTCTATAAGAAAAGTTATGGGCTTAGAAGTGCAGGATTTGGGCCACTTTTCTGCAAAGCCATTTTTCGAAAATTTGGAAAGGGTTAACATCATTAAAATGACGGAAAATCGACCCCAAAATACAAAAAAAAACTGGAAACGCAGATCTTTAGAGAATTTAACCACAATCATTTTGAGGTATGCCACTTTGAAATCGGATGTCTGTAAGAAAAGTTATGGGCTTAGAAGTGCAGGTTTTGGACCACTTTTCTGCAAAGCCATTTTTCGAAAATTTGGAAAGGGGTAACATCATTAAAATGACGGAAAATCGACCAAAAAAAAAAAAAAACTAAAAACACAGTTTTTTAGAGAATTAAACCACAATCATTTTGAGGTATGCCACTTTGAAATCGAATGTGTGTAAGAAAAGTTATGGACTTGGAAGTGCAGGTTTTGGGCCACTTTTCTGCAAAGCCATTTTTCGAAAATTTGGAAAGGGGTAACATCATTAAAATGACGGAAAATCGACCCCAAAATTAAAAAAAAACTGGAAACGCAGATCTTTAGAGAATTTAACCACAATCATTTTGAGGTATGCCACTTTGAAATCGGATGTCTGTAAGAAAAGTTATGGGCTTAGAAGTGCAGGTTTTGGGCCACTTTTCTGCAAAGCCATTTTTCGAAAATTTGGAAAGGGGTAACATCAATAAAATGACGGAAAATCGATCCAAAAAAAACAAAAACTAAAAACACAGTTTTTTAGAGAATTAAACCACAATCATTTTGAGGTATGCCACTTTGAAATCGAATGTATGTAAGAAAAGTTATGGACTTAGAAGTGCAGGTTTTGGGCCACTTTTCTGCAAAGCCATTTTTCGAAAATTTGGAAAGGGGTAACATCATTAAAATGACGGAAAATCGACCCTAAAATACAAAAAAAAACTGGAAACGCAGATCTTTAGAGAATTTAACCACAATCATTTTGAGGTATGCCACTTTGAAATCGGATGTCTGTAAGAAAAGTTATGGGCTTAGAAGTGCAGGTTTTGGGCCACTTTTCTGCAAAGCCATTTTTCGAAAATTTGGAAAGGGGTAACATCATTAAAATGACGGAAAATCAACCCTAAAATACAAAAAAAAACTGGAAACGCAGATCTTTAGAGAATTTAACCACAATCATTTTGAGGTATGCCACTTTGAAATCGGATGTCTGTAAGAAAAGTTATGGGCTTAGAAGTGCAGGTTTTGGGCCACTTTTCTGCAAAGCCATTTTTCGAAAATTTGGAAAGGGGTAACATCATTAAAATGACGGAAAATCGACCCCAAAATACAAAAAAAACTGGAAACGCAGATCTTTAGAGAATTTAACCACAATCATTTTGAGGTATGCCACTTTGAAATCGGATGTCTGTAAGAAAAGTTATGGGCTTAGAAGTGCAGGTTTTGGGCCACTTTTCTGCAAAGCCATTTTTCGAAAATTTGGAAAGGGGTAACATCATTAAAATGACGGAAAATCAACCCTAAAATACAAAAAAAAAACTGGAAACGCAGATCTTTAGAGAATTTAACCACAATCATTTTGAGGTATGCCACTTTGAAATCGGATGTCTGTAAGAAAAGTTATGGGCTTAGAAGTGCAGGTTTTGGACCACTTTTCTGCAAAGCCATTTTTCGAAAATTTGGAAAGGGGTAACATCATTAAAATGACGGAAAATCGACCCCAAAATACAAAAAAAAACTGGAAACGCAGATCTTTAGAGAATTAAACCATTATCATTTTGAGGTATGCCACTTTGAAATCAGATGTCTGTACGAAAAGTTATGGGCTTAGAAGTGCAGGTTTTGGGCCACTTTTCTGCAAAGCCATTTTTCGAAAATTTGGAAAGGGGTAACATCATTAAAATGACGGAAAATCGACCCCAAAATACAAAAAAACTGGAAACGCAGATCTTTAGAGAATTTAACCACAATCATTTTGAAGTAAGTCACTTTGAAATCGAATGTCTGTAAGAAAAGTTAGTGGCTTAGAAGTCCAGGTTTTGGGCCACTTTTCTGCAAAAAATCTCTCATCCCAAAGTCCTAAAATACAATCCCAATAAAAACCAACATTATGAAAAAAAAAATTTTATTTAAAATAATGGATAATACAATAAATGTTATATTTTAAAGACTTAATAAACAATTAGAATAATCTTAGACCATAGAAACTAGCTTAATTTATTTTAAGTTATAAAATAATAAGCGCTTAATATAACTCTTCGCTGTTGAGGTGGAAAATGGGAGACGACGACTGAAAAATCCTGGATATCCTTCAAGGCGACACTAAAACCCGGCGCAATTCCTTCACAAAGCTGATCCTGATGTCCTTACCGCATTCCTGTATGTAGATATTTTGTTTAGTTTAGATATATCGGTTCTTAAATTATATAATTCAAATAAAGTGTGTTTATAAAAGAAAATGTTGCACAAATTTTATTTCTGGGGACTCTTTTATTCTTTTTTATATTTTCTTAATAAATAAGCATCGTAAAACATTTATAAGATAATTTAAAAGGAATATATTTTATGAAGCTTACCGTACTCTTAAACACTCAGAAAATATTTGTTCAGCTTTACCTTTTTCTTTACAACCCAAATAATTCACCACTCCAATCCAAATTAATGAACAACACAAGTAATATTTGTTTTTGAAAAAGTTGTTTTCTCTTTAATTTGTTTTTCTTTTTTAATTGATTTCGGTTCATCTTTAATTGTATTTTTATAATTTCTGTTAACTAAATGTTAGTTTTTAGCTGTGTAATTTCATCTCTTTACTGTTTTCTGCTTTGCTTATCAATTTCGGCTATGATTACTATTTACAAATTGCCTGGCCAGCTATGTTTAGGATACATCTATAGATCTAAATATATATATTTATATCGATTTTTATACATTTAAAAAACAAGAAAATAAACAATAACAACGTTTCTCATGGTAGGTATACGACAATGATCGGTTAGGCATACGCATAAATATATTACAGGAGCCTTGGCAAGCAGTTATCAATCCTCGAGTTGAATGATGGGGAAACACTTATCGATTACTGAACATTAAACTAAATTAAATTTAAATTTCATTTAAATTAAATTAACTAAGCTGCAGCTTCTTACACTACAATGCAGGAATGTATGTTTGTTTGTTTGCTGTGTTGTTTGCGATGAGATTTCACTGTGGTTGGCGTTGGGTTCGCTTGGTTTGCTCAAAGCCTAAAAACTGGGACTTCTTTTCGAGACGGGGCTTAATTCTCTTTTGTTTCTCTGGGTCGTTTTGTGATTTTCTGCTTCGTGGACGCTTTACATAAAATTTTGACTAGGAAAGGACGTTTTTGTTTGAGGGAGGCCAGCTAGCGGTGTGCCCGAGCTGGCGAGGATTGCTCTAGTCACACCTCGCTGGGCATGCAATGCACACTCGAGTCCTGCGACAATTCGTCCATGGAGGATTCTGCGGGAGGAGAAAGTAGGGAAGATCTTATTAGACTTTTTTCGATATGGCTTAGAAAAATATTAATTACAGTCCCAAAAATAGAGTAAGTACTAATTTATAAATATCTTTAAGAGTTTTCCTATCAAAAGTTTAGTCTTTGAACAAGGCATTAAAGCTTGAAATCAAAAGAAACAACTTAATTGCTATTTCCGCGCTGTCAAACGCTCATAAATTGTAATCGTAATAAACTTTTAATTTGAAACATATAATCTTATTAAGATTAAGCTTATGCATGAGATGACACAATACATACATAATGGTATTACTTAACAATCTAACAAATTGAGCAAGTAAGTATCCTCATTAAGTCAAAGGTTGTTTAATAATTTAAATAAAAACCCACCATGTATTAAACATATTTTTCTAATTAACCCCTGACTCAAAATTATTTCTTTAAGATATCTTTATGAATTCCTTACCATGAGTCGGGTATAGACCCGCTTTAGAGCCGTTCATATGCATTGGATTCTGTGCGTTATTCTGAAATGAATACGTTAACTGCAGGTTAATATGACGCGCAAATGAGCTTCCTTCCGGTTCGCGTACTGCAATCAAAAATCGTTTGTTGAAAGTAGAAAAAAACAGAAGAAATTGTAAGTACTGTGTCAGCAACTTGTAAGGATCTTTTGATGGGGGAAAGGGACTGGATACTGAATACTGGCTAGTCGAGTTCTACTTTGGGGGGGATTTCTAGGGGATTTCTGGGGGCAGGACGGGCATGCGGCACTAATCCACTACTTACTTTTATTCTTACCAGCATGTATGTGTTTTTTCTGACGCGCCCGCGAATTCTGGAACCACACTTGCGTCACACGCTTGCTGAGACCGGTCACCGAGGCGATCCGCTCCAGATCCTGGCCATCCGGATTACTGTCAATCTGGAAGTTGGCCTGCAGCACTTGCAACTGCTCCTCGGTGAAGGTGGTGCGCACCCGTTTCGTCTTGCTCTTGTGATAACCATCGCCATCACAGCCCTCTGGAATTGTAGGAAAAATAAGTGTGTGATCAGAAAATACTCATTGAGAAGTAGGGTATTTTAGAACTAGAAAGATTTTTAAATGGCCATAGTTAACATATTTTTAAGAACCTAACTGAATAAAATAGTTTTGTATTAACAATAGACATTTCAAATATATTGCTTTAAAACAAATGAGACATCTAAGCCAATTTCACTAAACTTAATAAATTGATTTAACATATTACTTTACCAAAAATTCTATTATTATATAGACAACCAAAGAAAGGGATTCTATTCTGTTTGACTTAACATATTACTTTACCAAGTTAATTATTTTAAAAATTCTATTAATATATTTACAACCAAAAAAGGGAATTCTATTCTGTTTGACTTAACATATTACTTTACTAAGTTAATTATTTAAAAAATGCTATTATTATATTTACGACCAAAGAAGGGGATTCTATTCTGTTTACAAGCCCTAAAGGTCTTTCTCGGTGACTCTGGCTCTGGTCTAAAAGCATTTTGACAGTCGGCCAAATTGAAAACGTCAAAAAGTGTTTATGGTTTATAGAGCTGCTGCTGCTGTAATGCTTTATGAGATGTGGCCACTGTGGACCGGACACGGTGGTCTCTTCCAGGGAGGAGATGGGGTCTGGAGATGGGGTTTTGGGTTTTGGGAGGGGGGATAGGCTGGAACTACGACTGCGACATTCACAAGCCGATCACGTCGCCTCCGAACAAAAAAAAAATATAAGAAAAATCAAGTGGAGAGTTGTTTTTTACGAGTGTGACACGATTTCGTCAGTGGCGACTGGCTGGCGCTTAACTTTGGCCCCGGCTTCACTGTACCGTTCACAGTGAAGCGTCCCGAATCGGCAACCGTTCTGCCGCCGAAGCGTGCAGCATGTTCCCAACTTGTTTTTATGCCCCCCGTTTTGTTCCCCAACGGGGCAATGTTCATGCCACTAAAATGAGGTACTAACCGTCACTCGAGGTGGTGCCACCCTCGACCGTCTCCAGATAATGAGCCTTGCAGAGCACCCGGTCGTCCATGAGGGCGAACTGCTCGCCGGTGGACAACTGGCGGCCGCACTGGTCGCAAGCGAAGCAGGCCAGGTGGAAGACCAGCTCCCGCGCCCGACGCACCCAATCCGAGGCGGAGATGCCGCGACAGCACTTCGAGCACTTGGCGCCGAAATTTCTGCAATTAAACGAGAGGAAATCGCAATCAGTTGGGCTATTAAAATATTGTACATATGCTTGGTAATGTGAGGTACTTATTCACAGAAGAGTTCTGCAAAGAATTAAATCTTCAATCTTAAAAAATATGGAATACTTAAATCTCTAATTAGGATTGTCTTCCTATAAATATGGAGTTTAAAAGTTAAAATGAATACATAAGCTTTTCAATTATAGTTAAACATAAGTGATCTCCTTAGTGTTGATAATATTTTATTAATAAAGCAAATACAAATATACAAACATTTTACTGAGTAAAATACAAACTATATATATTTTTGGCTTTGAAATTTAATAAATAAACATTAAACAACTTTAGAATGACTATTATATGTGTGTTCAAAGAATCAGAATCAAAGAAAATATTTCTGATTAATTTGGAGATGCAAATTCAATGTATAAATGTTCCCAGTTAAAATTAATACCGACGCTTTCTTAATCATAGTTCAAATATAAATGATCTCCTTAATGTTGTAATATTTTAAGAATAAAGCAAAATGAGTTCAAAGAATCAGAATCAAAGCAAATATTTCTGATTAATTTTGAGATGCAAATACAATGTATAAGTGAAATAAGACTCGACTTTATCAATCCGATATGGCTGAGTATTTTCCTGTGTGCCGCAGCGCTTTCCAAGCGGAAGTGGTTGCCTGCAAACGTTTTTCCAAATGAGTCGGCAACTTTCGGTGGCTTATTGTTAGCTTTTAAGCTTATTTTTACAACAGCCACAACAATGTATGGTTGGAGCATGACTCGGATGTGGATGGGTTTTCTCGGGATGGGCTCAAAACGATGGGATGCCGATGCCGATGCTGGATGGATGATGTCTCCATCGGGCAATGCACACTTAAAATTCTTAACTTGAAAAATAAATATTTTTACAGCATCTCACGGCGCGTCTGTTTGTTTATTTTCATTTCGTTCGACGTCGACACCGTTTTCCTACGCTTCCCCCTGCTTTCTGAGCTGAACCTCCTCTCCAGTATCTTTTTGTATCCGCCAGATACTTTAGCTTGCAAGTTGCATTCTCCCCGTAAAGTTTTCATTTCGTTACGTTTTGGCCGCATCTTTGTCGCTGTTGACTTTATGGATTAAGTCGCAAACACTGTCGAATTGTTACAATTACAATTAACTAGAGGGACAGAAGATGTGTGGGAAACTATCCGGAAAACACTTGTGCACATACCCAATTGAGTTGGAAAATCAATTGGAATTTTCGAAAGTTCAATAGGGGCAGTTTTTCGAGTCAAACAGATGGTTTCGGGCTTTTTACACAGTGGGAAAAGTAGAACATAAAAAGTATACCAATCAAACATAAGAAGAATAAATGTCATGAAGGGATATTTAAATAACTGAATGAGATTTTGTTCTGCAAATTTATTAAGTATTGTCTACCAAAGAATTCTGAATATTTAAGGTTTTTTTTAATGTATAATTTAACTTCATAATCGAACTATTCCGAAGTTAAATTAACTAAATATTCGGAATCTATTAAACTCTAGAATATCTACTTTTAGAATATTTTCTTATTCAAAAAAGGAGGCAAGAAATTAAGTTAAGAAAGAAAATACGTGTATAGCATAAATTTAAACTAAATTAACTACATTAAAACATTGATTGCAGACAACGCTTTGCGATTGTGGAAAAATATGTTACTGACATGAATCTTTAAGCTCTTTTTTCTGAGAAATAGTTATTGATAAGTGTCTCAGTTTTCACAGAATATGAATAATTTTATGAATAATTCAGACTGATTTTTGTAATCTGACTTATTAATACATTAAATCCAAAGCAAATGATTATGTTCTGGATTTTTGAATAGCTCTTAAATCAGTACTCACTTGCTGTAGTCGGCCTTGCAGTAGACCTGCCGCTCGCGGATGAAGCAGGACTGCTGGCGGTCCAGGGGGCACATGCACATGCAACAGCGGAGGCAGTGGGCGTGCCAGGAGCAGCCGCCGACCTCCAGGAAAAACCTATCCGAGATTGGCTCCCCACACGCTGCGCAGGAACGCAGCTCAGTCTGGAAAATATATAGAAAATAGCTATTTAAATAGTGTTGAATATTGTGGTTTAGCCTATTTTTCTATACAAGTTAAATGCAAATTCTGGGCAGTCTTTTATATCACACACCTGAGAACCGGATCGGTTTCCTATACGAAAAGCGATTTGATCTGAAATCGGAGCGCCCGTCGGATTTGTTTCTTCTTTTGTTGTGCCTTCAAATGAAATCGGTCAATAAATCTGGCAAATGTCCCGGCGGCTTCTGTTTTATTTCTTAGCTGCAGCATTTAACTTATGTATATTAAACAAATTTCAATAGCCACACAAAAGACGAGTTTCTTTCGCTTTCGGCTTTGTTTTGTTTCGATTTTTTCCGATTCGCTCTTTTCGAAAATTGAACCATAAATTTAAAAATGTTATGCTAATTGTTGTTGGCGATATCAGTTGTTATTGTTGCTGCGACGGCGACGGCAACTGCTTCACTCCGAAGTCCCCGAAATGTGAAATTTATCGACCCATCCGAAGATCGATCTTATGAATATTCAATGTCTCGCCTGCATGTTACGCCGTTTTAAATGAGTGTTTCGAACAAATTTTATTGCGTTTCATAAAGTACAAAAAGACACCGAAACAAAAAGTAATCCGCAGAGTATTATTTAGATTGTGGCTTTCCTAATTGATTTTTTAGTGCTGCCCGCAAAGTGTTGAATTCAACAAATATTTTAACAGCCGCAAAATCTGCATCGCATTGCACTCATTTTTAATTAGGAAGGTATTATAAACAAATGGGAAAATAAATAGGGAATATCGGCAGGCTGTTTGTAATAATTTAAACTGAAATATGATGCCATCATTTTATTGGTAGTCAATTAATGTCACTTTTTGAACTGGAGGTGTTAAAATAAAAATGAATTTGTTTTAAGGGAATACATAAATCACTCTGCGTTAAGAGAAATCTTGCTAATAAATCTAACCATCGGCTTAATATTTTATAAATAAATAAATAATTTATTTCAATTGGATTAACGTAACAAGGTACACTTTAAGTCTTTAAAATAATAATGTTATATAAATCACATAATAAAGATAAAATACAACATGAAAATAAATCAGTTTGTTAATTATTTGTTTACTTTTACTTTAAATAATTTATAAGAGTGTTTATTTAAAATTATATTCTATAAATTCACAAATAATTTAAAAATATAGTAAAGCAATAACTCTTTAATAAAATTCTCCAAATGATTTTGAATTTAAATATTTAAAATGCATTTTTCTCAATATATTTCACACTTTATTGGTTTTGATCAATTTATTTATCCTTGCCACCATAAGTCGCCCATCAAAGAACATTTCAGTCAGTGTTAATGCCTCCTCATTATCTTTCCTTTGATGGGAAAACAATTTCAATTGCTCGATCTGGTTATTGTTGATTATGATGTGCAATTTCGGACTGAAATTTGTATTAACGGATGTGCATACAAAAGGCAATTCCTTTCGGCACTTTAAACGTTTAATTAATGGCCGGCATTTCATTAATAAAAAAAGGCAGAGAAAGGCGAATGCAAAGTTTTTCCATTAATCAAAAAAAGGCAGGGAAAATACGCTCCTATTTTGGTAACTGCCGTTGACAAAACAATTGTTGGCACAAATAATTGCCGTTTAACTTATGGCAACTTGTTGTTAACTTAGCTGACGAATACGTTTCTTCTCGCGCCGCCGGAGAATAAATACAAATAAATACGAGATAAGACCTTGGGCCGTGAATAAGACTATAACCCGATCAAAGGGCCCGCCATTTGCGACTAAGGCAATTAATAAGACAATGCCGAAGATGGAAAAAGGCCGGCAGCAGTCCGTGGGTAATAGATATCTATGAGAATAACTTATGACGGGCCGCAAACTATCAGATACAAATGTATCTAGTATCTGTGTTCGGGGGGTTGAGGCCCGAATATGCAACATGGCCACCGTCACAAGTCAGAAAGAGCAACATGTGAGCCGGTATCTGTATCTGTGCGTGTTCCGCGGACATGAAATAACATAACTACATCCTAACATGGCCGTCCGACCGCGCAGCCGCTGCCATTTAACTTTTCAACTCCGCCGAGTGTGTGACACGTTTAATAGCGGTGCCCGACCCACAGAAACCCACAGAAGCCCGCAAATACCCCTCAACCCCCCGATTTTCCCGGACGAGCCTGCGCTCTGCCATATCCCTCCTACCTTTCCTCTCCCCTCTCCCATCTCCCTTCCTGTCACTTTCGTTTAACTTTTCACATTGCGCGCCCGAAAAACACAACCAACAACAAGGCCGAATATTAGTGGCAAAGGGAAAGGGGGGAGAAGGGAAGGTGAGAGGAGGGGAGGGGGGAGAGCGGTACGAGGGGTGTTTTCAGCAATTTGTTTTCCCAACGCCCGTTTTAACACACAAAAACGGAGGCTGAGACAGTGACTTGAGTGCACTCGGAAAAATAAGCCTCGCGAATTACTTATATCACGGAAAACATAACACAACCAAATCCAAATGGCCTATAAAAATTATAAAAAGGACTAACAAGCTTTGACTATGTTGTATACAAAAATACAAGCCTTTATACCTATATACATTTTTTGATACCAAGAAAGGTAGGATATTTCAGGTTTTATTATTACTGATTCTGAATTTAAAATAAATTAAATTTTAATAAAATACGTAATTGAATTCCATCTTTCTAAGCATTTGGTCCTTTTTGTGAAGGATTTTAACAAATACCTTTGATTTAAGTAGATTTGTAATATAATAACAAATAATAATAAGTATATGGAAAACTATACATTTAAAATAAACTTGTAAGAAGTGTCTTTTATCACTTAGGGCATAAAATTCTAAAAACTAAAAATGTTAAGTCGTACAGTTTATTTGTTTTGCAAAATTAAAATTCCATTATATTCAAAACAATTTATGAAATATATTTTAAAGTGTATAGGACCCGAAATCGCACTTCGAATTCCCTGCAGCTTGTTGGTTATACACATGCAATTGCTGTTGTTGTCATGTCTATGCCCACTTTTGAAAATATGTCAGTTGTCAGAAGGACAGAAATAAGGGGAGGATATGCGGAGAGGGGTGGGGAGAGGAGGAAAGGGAAGGGAAGGAAAGGGGGAGGGGAGCGGGCAGAAGGACACATTTGAAGTGGCATTTTTGGCGAGCATGTCATTTGACTGTAATTTACTCGTGAGTGTCGTGAGCCTTTTGCGGTTTGTGTGTGCGTTTTAATGCGAGATGCATAAATCTAGCCATGAATTTCAAATGGGTTTCTTGTGGGCTTAGAATTCGTGGAAACTTTTCCGACTGGGTGACAGAATGAAGTGCGGAAAATGGCTTTAGTAGGCCAAAAATGGCGAGGAGATTGAGAAGATGGGAAGTTACATTTATCACATAGTTAATTTGGCAAAAGAAGTCGACTTTGGCACAATTCATTAGGTTTTATCGGCTCATCAATTTTTTTAAAATAACTGAAGAACACATTATTTTATTTTACAATATTGGCAGATACTCAAAATCTTATAAATCCTTAAATTAAATCCAATAATGAAGATATTGAAAACCAAGTAAAGACCCTCATCTAGCCAAGCGAAAAGTGGCAAAGATTTTAAGAACCGATAGAAGATGATGAATTCGCCGGCTCTCTGCGGGTCGCAATGTGCGATAAAATATCTCCATGGTTATCTGTGGGATCCCGGGGCTAGTTCTCTACCTTTTATTGTTATTATTTGCTACGAATACTCAGTGTTATATAAGCACTCCCTATGCCAAGCGAGGCCCTCATAAAAATTCCACAATCTAAAACTTGCACCTTGCAACTTTTGGCTCGAAATGTCGTAAATAACCCCGGCTGGCAGTCGTATAAAAGTGGGAAAAACAAAAGGCCAAGACAGAACTATAAAAGACACATGAAGAGTATGCAATAAAGTTTATAATCCTCCCCATTCCAAAGGGATCTAAATATCTGGATGTGGCAAGGTGCTCGAAACTGAGTTCCAAAAAGAGTGTGGAAGAAGCGGCGATACTGCGATGATACTGCAACCGGTAGCCGGGAGTCAAGAACTGTATCATCTTCAGGGCCCAAAAAACCAAGAAAAGAGGGACACGCCTAGAAGATCGATTGATTATCTTTCACGTCATTGCGCAAATTGAGCGATCATCGTAGGGACTACCGAACCACCATCGATTGCCATATCAATGGATGGATGGCTGGCTTGATGACAAAAGCCCTTGGCACTCAATCGGTTTCTCCGCTTGTGACTTGTCATCTTCCAGCCGTGAGAATGTTGTGCTCCCAAAAAAAACACAGATAGAAACTAAACAATGACTGTCGGACACAATATCTTTCGACCGATATCGAAGCTGTTATAACAACGACTTTGGGCACTTGTCACTTGAACGGATTTTGGCAAATGTTTTCCTAAGGCCTTTCGATCTCTCGATTTAAGCTGCTTTTCAACAACAAATTGCAGCGAAGGCTGCTTCGGTTTATTTCCAATATTTTTGTTGTGTAAACTCTTTTTCAGCTGATTTATGCGGCATGAAAATTTTCAACGGGCGTCTGTCAAATAAATATATATATATTTTTTCTGGTTTTCGGTTGCCGCTGGTGACTTTCGAAAAAGGCGTATCGCTTTTTAATTAGAGCTACTTTTTTGTGTTTGCGTGGGCCTTATACGCTTTGTGCTTAATATATTGAATTATGCTAAAATATGACTACCAAAAAGTTTACACGTCGGCGTTTGTTTGGCGTTAAGTTGGGATCATCGTATCTGATTGTTATTTAATGGCCGCACGAACTGCTCTTTATGAATGGAAGCGGCCAACAAACGCCCACGATCTGGGCTGAAAAAAGGTGGAAAAAGTGGAATAAAAGCATCCATATCCATAATACGAGCACGCTCCATAAATTGGCTAAATGTTTACAAATATTTGTGAGAGGGCCGGTATTTTTTATATTTTAAGGCTTTTTTTTTATAAAACCCGCTTTATTCAATGCATATACCAAGAATGATTAACATTGGGCTTCCTTAAAGATTATGTTATACTTAATGTTAGCTTAACATTAACAATCGATAGTTTATCGGGCGTAAGGTTGCCTACTACAATTCGGCCGTCCTGCGACTTGGATCCCCTGATCCTGAGATTCTTAAAACTAAAGTTAAAGCTAATTACAATACTCTTATCTTAATACAAAGTGGTTATGTAATCTTAAGTTTTACAATGTTTTCCTTTTTCCTATCCATGGTCTTATATTTTGAGCACTCCAGACACCCTTGTACGGATTTCGCGATACTTGAAAGCCTTCAACGTCTTGCAACAAGAACCTGTCGTTCCGAAGCACTTTGGCTATAACATATGGTCCTTTATTCTTGGGGATCAACTTTCTCGCAACTCCTGCTGTGCTATCAAAGTTTTTTACCATGACGTAATCCCCCTTTCCGTAGTCCTTGGCCTTTTTCTTTTTCTTGTCAAAATAAGTTTTATTGTATGCCTGTGCTTGATTTTGATTATCTATTGCTTTTAGTCGAATTTCCTCTAAACTTTCAGTAACAATCGTATCTTTTATTTCCTCTAATTTTTCTCTAAGCTCATCTACGATCTCTCCTTTCTGTTGAACACCAAAAAGCATCTTGCTCGGGATCTGTTTAATGCTTCTATGTACAGTGTTATTAAGGGTATATTCTACTTGCTCAATTACTGTGTCCCAATGTGCACCGTTTTCTGGTTCTGTAAGTTTTGCAATCATAGGGCCAATGCTCCTGTTTATACGCTCCACCTGTCCGTTGGCTTGTGGAGACCCTGTTGCAATTTTCAAGTGCTTTACGTTCCTCTGAGACAAGAATTGTTCGAAATCATTAGAGGTAAAACAACTACCTCTGTCTGATACAATCGACTTTGGTGTGCTATAAGCCCTGAAGTAGTCGCTTAATGCTTTTAAAACTTCTTTTGTATTTGTTGTCTTAGTTGTGTACAGTCTTACGAACTTAGTAAACCCGTCTACAATCAGAAATATGTGTTTATTTGCTCTTCCTTTATCTACTGGTCCGTAGTGATCGATATGCAGCAACTCGAATGGCTTGTCCCCTTTCGGAATACTATGCAGAAAACCTTCTGATTTCCCCGTTTTTGGTGCAAATGCAACACATTTTAGGCAATTTTCAATGTGACTACTGCACTTCTCTTTCATTTTATCAAACCAATATGTTTTTAAAATAGCGTCTAACATTTTATCTCTACCAATGTGTCCAAGTTCATTGTGATATTTATGTAAAATATGACTCTCCATTTCTTCAGGGACATAAAATAACAATCTGTCGTCGTTCCATTTTCTGTACACGACCCCGTTTCTCATTTCAAACATTTTAAGTTGATTTTTCTCTAGCTGGTTTCGAACTTGTAAAATTTTTGAATCTTTTGATTGACAGATTAACAGATTATCTTCAAAACTATTGGCCTCAATCGTCAATATATGACACCTACTTAGAGCATCTACGTGCTGCATTTTATTTCCCGATCGATGAACTACTTCGTAATCAAAATTTTGAAGTTCGAGTGCCCACCGGGCAATTCTAGGGTTTAGGTCGACCCTATTTAAAGTAAGGGTTAAAGAATTACAATCGGTTATTATATTAAAATTCCTTCCATGAAGGTAAATTCGAAATCTGCGAAGGGCATATATGATAGCCAATGTTTCTAGCTCAAAGCTGTGGTACTTGGACTTAGTTTTTGTTGTTCGCTTTGAGAAATAGAACACGGGATGAAATTGTCTATCCCCTTTCTTTTGCATTAAAACTGCCCCGAAACCTAAAAAGCTTGCATCGCAATGTAACTCGACATCGTCTTTGTGCTCATTAATAGCCAAGACAGGGGACTCAATTTTTTCTTAAGACTTAAAAAACATTAAAAATCTTTATCTTTAAAAGTGAAGTCCTTATCTTTTCTTAACATATCGTAAAGTAGCTTGGCTAGAATACAAAAATCTTTTATAAAGCGTCTAAAATATGAGCATAAACCCAAAAAGCTTTGAACGTTGTGTAATTTTTCTGGAATCGGAACGTTTTTAGTAGCATCAAGACCTCCATCATCTGCTCTTATTTCTTTTTTAGTTATGAAGAATCCAAAATATGTTATGCTTGACTGCATAAACTCACACTTATCCAGCCGCAGCTCTAACCTATTATTAACTAAACGTATAAATACTTCCTTTAATGTACTTAAATGTTCCTCTATATCTGTGCTGGCTACCATTATGTCATCCATATATACAATAACTTTATTTTCTCTGATCAAATCGGAAAAAATCTTGTTTACGAAGCGTTGAAAAACGGCTGAAGCATTTTTTATTCCCATGGGCATCCTCAAAAATTCAAACTGTCCTAAAGGAGTCACAAAAGACGTATACTTTATCGAATCATTGCTCACGAATACGTGGAAATATCCATTTTCAGATCGAGCTTTGAAAATACACTTTTATTGACTAGCTTATCCAAGAGGTCATCTATTAAAGGCAGAGGATAGTTGTCTTTTATTAGAACTTTATTAAGCTTGCGATAGTCTATGCACAATCTAAGATCACCAGTTTTCTTCTTTACCAACACGATTGGGGAAGCATATTCCGAGTCGCTATTTCTTATAATGCCTTTATCTAGGTATTCGTCTAACATTTTCTGAAGCTGATCCTTTTCATTATATGATAGTCTCCTAGGTGAACAACTAAACGGCTTCGATTTTTCTATGTTAATTTTCATTTCACATCTGATAAAAGGTATTTCTGGTCTTTTTGCAGTACCGTATAACGTTTTAAACATTTTGACAAACCTGCACTTGGTTTCGTAGTCGATTTCATTACCAATGCTATAATCCGGGAATTGATCATCAACTATGTTGATGCCTAACATATCCTCATCAAACGTTTCTGCTAAAATGCTCTTTGTCAGTTTTTCGGTTTGTATTCCTAACAGTTCCTCCTTAAAAGTTTTATTTTCTAATAGTTGGTTCTTAACAGTCTCTTCTCCTACGAGTTGCTTCTCAACAGTATCTCCTTCCATTAATTGTTCCCTAATAGTCTTATTTCCTAACAGTTGCTCTTTAACAGTTTCATTTCCTAACAGTTGCTCTTTAACAGTTTCATTTCCTAACAGTTGCTCTTTAACAGTTTCATTTCCTAACAGTTGCTCCTTAACAGTTTCATTTCCAGTTAAATGTCCTAGACAATCCGTACAAACATCTTCAGATAAATCAGCCATTCTATGTCGTTGATCCTTCGTTCCACAATAAAGGTTCAAGTTGCAAGTGTGAGACAGTGAGTTATTTTTGTTAATATTACAACTACTATCCTTAATAGTGTCAAGGGTGTCTAGATTAATGCTTAAACCAAAGATATCCATGAAATCCCTTCCCAGAATTGCATCATGGCTCATGGACTCATCAGCGACAATTATTAAATCAAAACAAATTTTTATTCCTTTCTTCATGATAAAACACAAAGTTTTTCCTTTTACATTAAGTTGGCTCTTATTTATACCAAAATATGAAGTCTTAACTTTAGTAATGTGTATTCCATATGGGACTTTGGAAAGTTTTATAAATGAAATGCGCTGCCTGAGTCTATGAGACATTCTGCAATAATTGGTACATTAGAAAACGAAACGAAATAAATTTGCATAGATCTTACATAATTGTTGTTGTCGCTGGCGCTCTTCCTCTTAGGGCATTGCCCTACGAAGTGCCCCATTTCTCCACATGCGAAACAAGATCCGGGAGCCCTTTTTGGCTTGCGGCAATCCTTTGCGAAATGGCCCTTGGAGTTACAGTTTCTGCAGCGCAATTCGTTGTTTCCAGAGGCCTCCCTAGATGTCTTCTTCGCTGCGTTGGTCTCGATTATCTGCGGGAGGCAGATATTTGCGAAGGCTTGCTGCATCTGCTCCGGGTTGGCGAATCGTTGAATGCGTGCTTGATCCCTTAAATTGGCTGATGGCACTCCTTCGATGATTTGTTCCAAAAGCTCATCTGTCTCCAGGTTGATGGGTTGAGCCAACATCATCTTGTCTTCGAAGTACATGGCAAAACGCTCGGTTTGTTGCCATTTCCGTTGCTCGAACTTGCGACGCTGCTCGGATTTTGAAGACATTTGCCCGAAGGCCATAATCAGCTGCTCGCATAGCCTCTCGAAAGGTTCCAGCATTCTAGTGGGGTTGGCGTGTAACCAACGCTGTGCCTTTCCTTTCAGCTTGGTGATGAACAGCATCCTTAGACAGTCGTCGGCCAAAACATATACTTGACCAATGTTCTTAAGGTGTTCCACCCAGATGCGAGCACACATGTTTTCGTCAAAGTCTATGGCTGCTTCTTTGGCGAAAGATAACGATGTTGCTGATGTAGCTCGGCTGGCAGCTCCGTCGGCGTTGAAAACGGCGGTGTTGTTGTTCGTTGAGCCGAATACTGCCAAACCACTGCTGTTGACACTCGATGCAAGGCCTTGCAGGGCTGGCAAAACGTTTGAGCTTGTAATGCCGCCACCAGATGCATTGTCGTCTGAGGTCGGTAGCACGATCAGACTGGTAGGGTTGCCAGACGATGCATGCATTTGCGACCGCGGTAGAATGTTCGAGTCTCCGAGGTTGCCACTATTGTCAACTGCTTGTTGTTGTGCGGCGCCACGTGTCTGCGCTTGTTGCAACAAATTGCGATGCGCACTTACTTCTGCCTGCAGCTGCCTTATGATGGCAAAAAGTTCATGTTGCTCAAGGGCATCTCGGGAGAACACCCTCTGAGAAGCCGCTGGTGCGATGTTCACGTTGCCCTCGGCGCCCTGAAGTTGATGGGCGGAGGCGTCGCCTTGAACTTCTTCTTCTTCGTTAGCGGGTTGATCTTCTCCAGAATTTGGGTTGGCGTCTTCGCGTGGTGCCTGGCCGCGCTCCTCGGGAGGAACACGCCCAAGACGAGCCATCAATTCGGCCTTAAGGCCTTGAGTTGGCATTCCCAACGCGGAAAGCCATCTTTTTAGTTGAACAACCGAGAAATTGTTGAAGTTTATATCGTCCATTGCGTAGATTTATCCCACTTCTGAATTTGTGAGAGGACCGGTATATTTAATACTTTAGGCACTTTTTATTATAACACGTCCGCTTTATTCAATGCATATACCAAGAATGATTAACATTGGGCTTCCTTAAAGATTATGTTATACTTAATGTTAGCTTAACATTAACAATCGATAGTTTATCGGGCGTAAGGTTGCCT